AACATTGTAAGGTGTGGAGACATCCCCCCCCAAGAATCCCCCGCAGAGGGGGTTGCGGGGGAAATCTGGGGAGTTGAAGTCCACACATCCTAAAGTTGCTGAGGTTGAGAAACACTGCTCTGAGTGATGACTGGCAAAGGTTAGCAATTAAGCAAAGGAAGACTTTCTCCACCTTAATCAAAGCTCCCACAATGAAGACAGGTTAGTATAACCAGGGATCTATTTCTGTTTTGTGAATTTTGAGTTTTTGTGAACTCTGTCTTGTTCCTTCCTCCCACAATCCCAGGAGTGCCTGGCCACTTCCTCCCATGAAGCAGCCTAACATGGTGAAAGTGAAATGTGAATAATCCTCAGATCAGCTCTCTTCATAAGCCCACTTGAGATGCTGTTCAAGTGATGGCTGGCTGCAGCAGAAAAGCTTTCCTGTGCATAGATGGACATGTGTGGCTATCATATCAGCCAGGACTGTGTGGATGTCTGCAGGAAGCCAATGTCATTGGAGTGATTTCAGAAGAGCTCAGTGCAAAGCCCTGCTCCTCATTCCAGCTATCTAAGACACACCTGCTATTTCCATCTGCAGCATCTTCTCTTTACTCTTCCTAGAACTAAGGGAGGCCCATTACAACTGTTCAGTGGAAAACTACCTAATTTGCACACAGATTCAGCCTCAGACTCAGAAATCTCCAGTTCAAAGAATCTCAGAAATAGGCAGGTGTTTAGGAGAGCAGGGCAGAGCAGAGCAGAGCCTCCTGGGTTAAATGAGAGGCTGACAACAGGATGGCTTTGAATGTCAAAATATCTGTGTGACACTCCTAGATGTTATCCACCAACGCCTCCCCCCCAGTTATTTATTTTTTTTAAACCTGTATTTTCTCCTTGAATTTCAAAAATAAAGTTTTGCTGTTGGTGACTAATGAGCCAAAGTTCACTTGTGGATAAGCCAGGTTTGACATACTGTAAGGGCTACCAGTTGTGGAGTTTCCATCACAGGTCAAAGTTCAGCCTGAGTCTAAGACACAAATGCCACCCCAGCCTAACACCATTTTTCTGAGCTAGATCAGACACCACTGACCCGGAACTGTGGCCGAGGCTCTTCAATGGATTCTGCTGGTGTGTCCAAAGTTCCCCACTTGTATGCAAATTCAGCTCCCCGGCGTTTCCACTCCTCCAGGAACAGCGTGGACCAGATAACATTGAAGATAGCAAATATAACACAGCAGATGTCCCGGCTGGTCTAATTAGGAGGGGAAAGAGTGATTAATGAAGAGCAAAGAAGGGCTGGAAACTCCACTGTTTTATCAGCTTCTAAGTAGGGTTGCCTTTCACAGCTACCCATCAATCAGAAAAATCAACCCCAAAACCAATCATCTTGTTCTGTAATTCCACTCAAAATTCATTTTCTCACAATGGCCAGCCAGATACATCTAGTAAGACATTAAGGGAACAGCCCTCCCCTCTACACCTGAGCAGTAATCTGCAAAACATTTCACTCCAAAACATTTCTAGCACAAAATTTCAGACATGTCCCATTTCAAGTGTGAACTGTGCTGATTGGAGCATGGAACTGTTCTGACTGCAAATGCAAGTGTTTCAAGCTTGCAACATCTTTATTTTTGAACTTGAAATCTTTTCAAAATGTTCCAGACAGCCTATTCCACTCAAATCAGGATGCTGCACTTGAAACATTTCAAAATGGGGACATTTTGCACACCCCTTGGATTTTAACATCTCAGGAAGACTTCCTCTGCACAAAGAGATTCCTTTTGTTGTTAGTCGTACTCACACCTAGTAACTATTAAACAAAAACCCCCAAAACACCCTTTTTTCTCTCTGAAGCCAGAAAATAGGGACTGCCTTAGTGGTAGAATCCTTAGGGTTGGTTGGTGATCAGAAGTACCATGGTGGATCAGAATACAGGAGCTTACCCTAGTAAAGGTAGACTGCCTTTGAAGCTGGAGGGCTGAGTGTTAGCCATGGATCCTGGTGGCCACTGATAGAGAAGATCCCTTCTGAAGAGATCAAATCATCCATCTGATCTAGCATCCTGTTCTTAACAGTGCCCAGACAGATGTTTCCCGGAAGCTCATCAGCGGGAATGAAAACCTCAGCCTTAGATAGCTTTCATCTAGTTTGTTATGATTAATAAATGTTAGATCCATCTTCCATTAAAGTCTGATCATCATTTAAAGGCAATGGACTTTGTATGTGTCCATGGGGAATGGATAGGTAAAACATACAAGAACTAATTAACATTGTAATGGTATGTGGGAAAGAGGGCCAAGAGATGCTGCCGAGGGAATGGTCAGTAAGAGAAAGCATAGCCCACAGCTGGATAGCGGGTGGGGCAAGAGGCTCAGAAGGGACCCTCCCTCATTTCTCGGGCTGTAAAGGAGATGGGGCTGGATAATTGGACTTTCAGACTTGCAACATTCTCTTAATGTAGCTTTACAATAAAGTAAAATTAGCTCATCTGGTGGTGTTTCCTGTCTGGTCTACCTAGTAAAGCTGACACTTATGGAATCAACTGCCACAGATTGAATTAGGGTCCCTTGGTTACATTTAAAATACTGACAAATTATAGAGAAAATGTCAAACGATTAGCCAGGATAGTAAGAAGAATTTCTGTGAATAGAGGTAGGTAATCTGAATACAAGACCCTGAAGGGAAATGGAAAGGACACTTATGTCGTCTTCTTTGTAGAGAAATAAGGCTGTCCGCTGTTAGAATACTACAGAGTGGGCCTTTGATATGATCCAGTAAGCTCTAACTGATTTCAGGCATTCCCTGTTCTATTTCTGCCTAGCTTCAGGTGGTTTGCCAAGTATGATCTGATTTGGAGGAGGAAGATCTTGCCTTAAGTGACACAGGTCTTGATGTTACTGTAACACACACCATGTAATGGTATGTTTAGAGCCTCAGAGAGAGTCACAACTGCACCATTTGTACATTCCTCAGCTATCAGGTGATTGATTAGCCTCCTTGTGTATCCACAGAGGCCGCTAGTAAAAAACTGAAAAAGTCTTCACCGTAACAAGCTGAAAGATAAATTGGATTCTAAAGCAACAGCAATCCAGTTACTGAGATTTTTGTATTTTTATTCCCTTCCTTTTCAATAAATCTCGTAATTGACTGTCAAAAGCTTAATACACCATGGGTGGCTGTCCTTGAAGGTGGTACAAAAAGCTTCATTGGGCAGAATGTGACAGCAAAAGACTCACAAAAGCTCAGCGCTTTGATCATATTACACCTTTTCAACACATCTACATCCACAGTCTATTTAGTTCCAGGCCCAAAGAAAAATGGTTTCAACCTTTATAACCCTAGACAGATGAGGCCAACTTAGGGATCAGTTGCGTCCATCTCAACTTGCCAGAATTTTACCATCAATTGCTGAGACCCACTGGCATCTGTGGGGTGGAAGGAGAGGACAAGGCATGGGTGGTGACATCATGGCCCAAGCCACTGACTTCCAAACTTGCACGCAACATCATGCTGCAACTACAGATGATCATGTTTTCATCATGACATCACAAGGCATGTATCATCATTTTCACATCATCATGGTTTGTACCAGATGCCTATGCTGAGGCCCAATTCTATGGTCCCTCAACAAAAGCCTCTTGAGGTAGTGAGAATTGGCAATAGGGCCTTTTCCAATAAGGTCCCAATTTTCCAGAAATCTGTTCCTGGAGAGTTATGCATGAGTTTCCTGACTTGTTTTTAAGGCAAACATCTAGTTTCTCTTTAATTATTGTAATAGTTTTATTTTTAGGACTGTTTTATCTTCCTTGTGTTTTTCATTATGATTTCATTTATTTATTGTAATTTTATACCACCCAATAACCAGAGTTCTATTAGGATTTTTAAACAAAATTATGAGCTGCCCTGGCAAAGATAACTCTGAAAAGTAGCAAATAAAGGAATGAAAATAAAACAGCAATACAGGTAGTCCTTGACTTACGACCACAATTGGGACTGGAACCTTTGTTGTGAAAGGATGCGGTCATTAAGTGAGTTGCATCCAATTTTACAACCTTTTTTGTCATGGTCGTTAAGCGAATCTAGCTTCCCCCATTGACTTTGCTTCTCAGAAGCTCCCTGAGAAGGTCACAAATGGTGATCAAGTGACCTCAGGACACTGCAACCATCATAAATACATGCTGGTTGCCAAACGCCTGAATTTTGATCACGTGACTGCAGGAAATGCTGCAACGGTTGTAAGTCACTTTTTTCAGGGCCGTTATAACTTCGAATGGTCGTTAAACGAATGGTTGTAAGTCGAGGACTATCTATAAACCATTCTGAAGAAACATATATAAACCCAGCATGGCCAGTGGTGATGAACATGGCAGTTATAGCTCAGCAACACCTGGAGGGGTGAGATTCCTTAACTCAGAAAGAGGAAAAGAAAACTTCTGCTTTTATCTATCCCTGCACCCTCCTTGTACAACATGGGTCCTCATATTTAGAAGATGAAGATGCTGAAAATGCTGATACTAGTATCTTCATCCTCTTCCAGCTTCTTCTTCGCAATTCCTTGCCTAACAAGATTAGGGGCTTCTTGGCAAGAAAGAAATTGAAGCATTAAATGATCAAGAAGCAGGAAATAAGGTGACCCTCGAGGCAGAGGCTCATTGCAAATTTAAACTGTGTGTTCCTGCTCCTTCTTTGTTACCATAGGAATTGGCAACCTTTGCAGGGAATCTAGGGAGTGCATCGAAGTGGCAGGGATAGACAGGCTTATATGTGCATAGAGGTAAAATAGACACAGACAGAGGAATTCCCGTTCCACGCATCCCACCACGAGTCTGCCTGCATTTGGATCTTCAGCTGAGTCTCCTATTTCCCAGTGATTACTAGCAGGCGAATATGGCAATTTTAGGCAGCATCGAATCTGTGAAAAGGAGCTTCTCCGATTCTCCCTGCCTCCAGAACTCTCAATGGAGCTTAAACAGCATGTTTCCCCACCACCACCAACTTAATCTGCATGGACATTATTGGTAGCAAAGACCAAGGAGGGGAATTGGATATTGAAGGTAGAGGGGCTGCAAAAAAAGTTTTAGGGGTTGTGTGTGGCCCACAGCTATCCATCCACCCCTTCTGTAGACCAGCCCTTTCTTTTGCTTTCTCTCTCTCTGCCCTTCTTTCCCCCTAAGTTCTTAACAAGGGCCTTTGTTTTTCCAACTCGGCCATATAATCTGCTCCCTTCGAGGATGCCAAACAATCTGCCTTAGTGACTTTTAAACCCAAAACAGTCTTCCATAGCTTTCTTGTTCTCATAAACAATTCTACCTCTTCTTTCTTTTCCACCCTGCTGACACCTCCAGTCTTCCTTTGCGCTCAGAACCCTCCTTTTCTGTTAAATTTCTGCCCCTTCCTTCTGCTCTTCATTCACACATGAAAACAGTCCCTGAATTCTGGGACAGAGAGTTCCTCAATCAATGGTGAGAATATAATTATAATTCTATGCGTACTTACTTGGGAACAGATGCCACTGAATTTGTTCTACGTCTGTCTAAACAAGCCGAGAATCAGATTTCTTGTAGGTATATGTATATATTCATCTTCGCTCTCTCTCTTTTCTCTCACTCCATTATTTCTTTCCTTCCTTCTCTACATCTCCATCAATAATAACAATTAGCTTGCAAGATATTTGGCTTGTACTGTAACAATATTGACTATTTCTCTGTACTCTACATTTTAGTTCAAAATGTGCAGGATATTTAGGGGTTTCTAATGGATATTGGTGTCTAAGTTCCCTTTGTCCAGAATGCCACCATGCCACTGCTATGCACTTCAACCCCTCACCTGATCATTCTCTGTGAAGGTGTAGAGGAGGGAGCCAAACACAGCAGGGTAAACCATGGCTGACGTGTAGAAGCCCAGCCATGCGAAGTACATGGCAATCTTCACACCAAAATAGTCACATATTTCATCTGGTGGGAGAAGAGGAGCAGTTTCAGGAGAACATATGGATAGAACTTGAAAGAATAGACAAGATCACTCTTTCCTGAAGTTGTGCTACTACAGAGATCTCTCAGTTCAATCAAATAGAAAATTACATTTCATTAATATGTGTTTTGCCACTGTGACAAAGGAACAAGGAACAAGAATGGCCTTCTTCCTCAGGTGTCAGATAGTCTATGCCAGATCCAAGTGACCGTCAACCCAACAATCTTATCTCCGTTCATTTTCCTGACTGTTTCTAATGCCCTGGGGCTACTTTGTCCAAACACTCTTTCTGGACAGGTAACATGAAAGCAAATTCGGAAGTACAGTACCTTATTTACATTCTGTCTGGACTACTGCAATGCACTCTACATGGGGTTGTCTTTGAAGACTGTTCAGAATGCAGTAACCATGCTGTTGACTGCAACCGTTTATATGAAGGATGTGACTCCCACATTACAGCAGCTTCACTGGCTGCCATTCTAGTTTCCAACACATTTCAGCCAGTTAGGTTTTAGAAGAGAAGTTTTTCTCTCTATTCTGTCAATGACTAAAGTGGACTCGGTGAGAATGTGATGGCTCCTAATGTACTTCTATCCAGGAAGGTCCTTGGGAGGGAAAAGATACAGCTTACCTGAAAGCCCAGCTAGATTCTGACAACTACAGGGCTATGTCCAAGTTATTTTCTTGGCAACAATATTGAAGTGATTTGCCATTATGTTCTTCTGAAATATTTTTGGAGTTCCCAATCTAGTCTGTAGAGCATCCTCCATCCAAATACAACCCAGCTTAGCTTTTTTCAGGGTCAACCAAGGTCGGAGAGATGCTATCACCTGCTCTGATCTTCTGACTACTTTCTCCCAAAGGCAAAAATGCCTCACAAGAGACTACTTGCTACCCACAATCTTTCTGCCAGCATTTGCTCTTAAAGCTTCTCCATCCATTTCCCATCTTCCATAAATATTTTACCAAGGTGCACACATTCATCTAGTTTGCTGCCATTTATGTATAACTTCAAATCATTCTCCCTCTTCCAAAACAACTTTTTATTTCCACTGAAATTGCTCTGCATTTTCTCAGCCTCTTTTGATCTTAACCAGCCTTCTCTCTTTGACTATGTTTTTTTCCAACTATTTTTTTTCTTTCTATACATCTTTCTCTCTTCCTCCTCTTTTGCAGCAATAATTCTCTTCCAGGCATTTTTTTTCCTCATACATGGCCTCTTTCACTTCCACCAAGCATCCTTTTTCATATTTAGTATCAAAGCAACCCCACACACATAGAAAATGATGTGCGGCTTCTAGCTGTCAACTGATAGGCAACTGTATTTGAATTGCAAGATCTTGATAACCAATAGATGGAGGCAAAGAGATCCAGAAAATAACCCTTTACTGCCATCTTGTGTTTGCCTGGATTATAGCAGATCTGGTAATCCTGACCAAGTGCAACTCTGCATCATAAAATACTTATGCTGATCTGACTCAGCATAAAATAAATTTAGTTCCTTTATCACACCTACTGAGAGAGGTTGGGTTCAGGTTATATAGGAGAGCCAGGGCCTTTTTGCTGGGGAAGCAATCGCCCTGACCCACATATGCGATTTGTGATTTGAAATGGAAAAAAAGAAGAGCAATACTTTTCAACTCCAATAAAGCAAAATGAGTCCCATGTTAAGGCTTGGGATTAGAATGCAGTGAGAAAAAACAAAAGTGGGGCGGTAGGACTCAAATGACTGTTCTACCCCGGGACCTGTCCGAGTCAAGGGGCCATACCCAAAGGCTGGGCTTCGCAAATGGCTTGTACCCACGATTTCATCAGCCGGTTTAGAATCCGTTGCTCGTGGATGGGGAAGACTTGCTGGAGGATGCCACGAGCAGACAGCTCAGGGACTGTGAAAAGAAGGAAGGAAGGAAGAAGAACAGAGCAGAGCAGAAGACCAGAAATCTCTTCTCAGCTCTCCACACTAACAGCAGCCACTTGGGCCCCATTCCTTGGCACTGCCATTGTGGATCACATCCCTGGGCAGATAGCCACTGTGCTAGCAATATGCCACAAATGTACTGAATCTGAAAATGCACTCTGGAGCAAAAGGAGGCCCACCCTTTTGAGCTGGATGGCCCATTCAGAATTTGGAGAATGTGCCGTGAGTATCCATCTCAAGCAGCTACGATGGGCTGCGGGTGTTTCTGTTTCAGTCTACAGGTAGTCCCCGGGTTAAGAACGCCCAGTTTAAGGATGACCCATAGTTAAGGACGGAGCCTATTGTAGCAAAATTCGAATTAAATACACAATGATTCGAGTTCATTATACAATACTACTTATACAGTATTATACAATAATAGTGTTCTGGCTTACATACAAATTCAACTTAAGGACAGATCTTGGGAACAGAACTTGTTCTTAAACCGGGGACTACCTGAATTTATAAAAAGGCAATAATTTACTGGAAGTCAAACAGGTGAGGATATTTCTCACTACAGGACCTCTTCCTGACCCCAGAGGCTTCTGGCTTGCTAGGGCTTGCCTAGGCCTTTTTTCTCCCTTACAGGTGTTAACTCTTTCAAAAAAGAGGTTACCCCCCCCTTCTTATTTTCTAACTCTGTTTAAGTCAGGCCCACAAACATGCTTGGTCACTTGGTGGATGTGGATAATCCATACAACTTGAGCTTGTCCTTGAATTTCAACACCACAACGTGAGAAAGGAACAACTGACCTCAGAATGCAAAAAAAAAAAAAAAAAGAAGAAGACATGAGAAAGAATAATAAACAGATGATGCGTTATGGCCCTAAACAGACCATATTAAGGGGCGATCTTTATCAAAAAGTTCCTTTATTTGTTTGCTTGTTCAATTTATAAGCTGCCTCAATCGTCCAAGCAAATCTAGGCACCATGCAACTTATTAGAACAATAAAACAAGCAGGAAACGGTGACAAACGGCAAAAAACAATAGATATATTACTGTACTGATTGGGGAAAGAAACACCAAGAACCGAGGAATAAAATCCCAGAATCGGTGGGGGATGATAAAATTGCTTTGCTCCAGGGCCGGCTGAAAGTGATAAGTTTTAAGGGATTTTCTAAAAGATAGGGTTAGGATTGGTTGCATGGACTTCGAGAGGATAAGCAGTTGTTTCTGCTTAATCTCTTTTATAGGGTGGCTGCTTTAAATTCAACATCATCTTTCTTTCAAGTCAATCCTAATATATAGTTAGGATATATTATTACAGTGATCAGGGTGTCTGCAGAGTATGGCAAAAAAAAAAATCAAGATGAACTTGAACTCTGCTTCTTTTTTATGCGCGTTGACACTCCTGACAGCCTATGAAGACAGACTAAAATAATGTGTGTGGGTCCTAACGCTTAGGCCTCTTATAATAAGCAACACATCTTTATCATTCCTCCTCACATTCGTCCCTCACTTTTATTCCATTTGCATTTTTGAACTAGGTACCGATTCCTGTTCACTTTCCTTCTATTCGGTGCTATCTGCTTTTTTCCTCTTATGATTACAATACTGTAATCATAATTTCCAGTCATTAAAAGACAACTTTCTCTAAGTTGACAGCACCACTCATCTTTCTTCACTGGCCAAGGGTGCTTTAAGCTGCCTGCCCCCCCTCCACCCCACCCTACCCCAAATGAAGGAGCTACAATTCAAGGAAATTTGTATGATTTGATTTCTATTGAATATTTCAGTGGCACCTTAGCTGTCCAGGGGTGAAGGAAGGTGAAGACAAATGTTCTTATGTTAACTTTCTTCATTCTCTTACATTTGCAATTCTATACTTTGCCCTAATTAAATTTTCACTTGATTAAAATTCTTTTCAGCATGATCAATTTCAGAGATGGCTTGAACATGGGAATTGGGGCAGGGAAGGGAAGGAACAAAAGCATCTAATTTGGGAAGCAAGGTGAAGACAAATGTTCTTATGTTAACTTTCTTCATTCTCTTACATTTGCAATTCTATACTTTGCCCTAATTAAATTTTCACTTGATTAAAATTCTTTTCAGCATGATCAATTTCAGAGATGGCTTGAACATGGGAATTGGGGCAGGGAAGGGAAGGAACAAAAGCATCTAATTTGGGAAGCGAATATTAAATGTTCCTTTTAAAAACTGTCTTACTCTAAGATTCAATTTGCAAGGTGCCCCTTAAGAAGGAAGAAAGAAGTGGCAGTGGTGCCCATCCCAGCCAATATGTTCAGCTACAATCCCAATCACAGCAGTTTTATTTCAAGGTTGACAAGTGAGGATCTGAGACTGTCCCTTCAAAGGGCCAGGTTTGGCCCAAGTATTCTAGCTGCTGACCCCAATCAACCACTCTTCTGTTAAAATAGATCACAGATAAGACAATCCAAATTAATGGACATGAGCATGCCTGGATTTACGGAATTAATTATTATTTCAATTTAATGCATCCCCTATATCCTCTGCTGGCTTCTTGCAAGGCCCTGAAGACATGGATTTGCCAACAGGTACGGGGACCTGGGTGTGTGGTAGAGCTGGTGCAGTGGCTGTACTAATTGTTTTGATGAATGCAATTACGGGCTGTGAGTTTTATGTATTTTAGGATGGTTTTTATATGCCTTTATATTTTTTCCTTGTTTTTAAATTGTTGTATTGTTCTTTTTTGTTGTTTTCATATTGGTTCTAATGGTTTGTAAGACAGGCAGCTATATAAATTTGAATCATAAATAAATACTCAGAATTTGCTAGCGCGGAGCAAATGCAAAAGACACGGAACAGAGAAGATTCAGCATAACACAGAAACCTGTGCAAGAAACCAGTTCTGGTTTTAGCCAGCACATGCATGGCACTCGGTACGTTCCACCTCCTGGCCCAGTCCCCACTCACTGATTGGCTGCCCTTCCAGGAAGTGAACGTTGTGCAGCACTTCGCCCTGCTTGGCCCGCAGGTTCTCCAGCCAATACCTGATGATGTTTTGGCGTTCCTGAAAGCAGGATGGAAAAGCTGTGAACGGTGTGGGTCACCAGCCTCTCACGCAAGGCCATGTCCATGACTGGATGGTGCACCTACGGCTCTCTTGGAGGCCATTAATTCTCTTCGACTGGACCGCAATGTTCCAGCCAGCTGTGAACTGGGACACACAACTCCACCCAAAGCAAATACAGAGGACAGACTGTTCCAGGACTGAGGAAATAACTCCAGTCAACAAAGCTGTCCGTGCAGGAAATATTCCTTTGTGCAGTGCAGAACTGATCTGCAGAACTTCCCTCAAAAGATGTGACGAAGCTATTAGCTGGGAGCAGCCAAGTGCAACTATTGGGGGCATGGATAGGGGTGCCCTGTGACCCAGACTGACCCTTTTCTCCTCAGTTCTGCCTGACTTTTGGCACGGTACATTGTATGGGAAAGATCAGGAATTGGAAGGGAAGCCCAAAATGACAACGGGAACACCTGGCAATGAGGGGCTGAGAGGATGCTCCTGGAGGATCCCAGAGGGAGGAAGAAAGCTTGCTGAGACCAAGCAATCAAAAATGGGCCCAGGCCTGAAAGAACACGGGGTAAGAAAGGAGAGCCAGAGAAGGGTGTGTTGGTGTGTTCTCTGTATTCAAAAGTGGGTGAATTTGCCTACTAGGCTAATCAACATATTGTGCTAATTAGGCTGCCAGATTTAGAGGTCTGGATTATGACCAACCTAGCCATGAGGCATCCTTGGCCTTGAATGACATTTGATTTCATTTCCGCTGAATTCTATTGAATTTCAAATTAAATGAATGCAATCTTGTCAATATGATCATCCCTCTGTGCCTTCAGTAAACATTACAATTTGTGGGCAATGTTCGTAGGGACTTTGGATGCCTCGTCCAAAGCTTTGGGGACATGCATGAGTGCATAGCCCTGGGTCTTAACTGAGATCATTGTGGAAAGAGAAACGGAGGGCCATTAGCCACAAGGACTCTATGCAGCCTCCGTGTATAGTAGCAAACTATTAATAAAAAAACAGTTCCTTGGGGACAGATCTCTGTCCTCCTTTTCTGAGAGCACTGAAATAGTAGGTCTTTGTGGACCGTGGAGTTGGTCTGACCTAGCAAATCTTCGGTTTGACCCAGCAGGATCATCTTTAGAGACCCTTATTAATCAGCTGATTTTCTACCAAACAGCAACTAGAACCAAAGGGAAGAAGGCTTTCTTCTGCTGTTTCTTGCCCCAGGGGACTCACCTGAGAAGTGAAAAAATAGAGTTCATTTTCTATGTTCTCGTAGATGTAATCTTCCTCGCAGGAGAAACTGCGCATGCCACCCCCAAATTCAGCCTTCACGGGTTTCCGTAAGCCAATCTCGTCCGCCCCCCGGAGCAAACTGTCAAGAGATGGGCAAATAGAGGAATCTGAGAGAATGAGGTACACCCTGGGGTTTCTCATCTCTCCAGCTTCTGTTTTGTAGAGAGTAAGGAAGATGATCTTGATGGAAGTCTGCAAGAACTGTTAGCTAGGGGAGGGACAAATTCATGCCAGTAAAGTTTTTTATTGACCAAAAGATGGATGGAAAACACTTCAATTCAGCAATGGGGAAAGGCCCTAAGAAAATCCACTTAGAACTAGAACGCAGAACCTGTGGCCCTTCACGCCGTTAAACTACAGCTCCCAGCATTCCTTTCTCTTCGCTATGTTGGCTGGAGTTTCTGGAAGTTTAAAAGGAGGATCACAAGTTCTGCTCTGTCCTGTTTTGGGTTTTGCATTCTATATTTGCTGGAATAATGTGGCTTATCTCATGTATTGATTTTGATGTAAACACATCAGCCATTTGCAAGCTGGTGTCCTTCCATACAACCAGAAGACACCAGAATGAGAAAGATTCATCTACAACATTAAATACAGTAGGATCCACATACTGCATTCTATAACTCAGCAGGGAGTTTTAGCATTTGATTTTCACTTTGGTTAAGGAGAAACTGGACTCAGTGGGTGACCTCTAAGAGACTACCAGAATGTCACAGATTATATTACCTATGTTGCATTCTGCACTCTCTCTCCCACATTAAAAGCCCCAGGAAGGAATATATTTTCAGCCTTTCCTGTAAGTCTCACATTTTGCAGGCTTATGCTCTTGGCTTCAACTCCAAGCCCCCCAATTTAAAAGGTGATAGGATAGAAGCTGTCTGCCTGAGACCCTTGAGAGTTGTTGATGTTTGAGAAGATAACCCTGGCTCAAATGGACCAGTAGTGACTCTGCATACGCCCACACCATGTGGTACTGGAAAATATATCCATTTTCATAGTTTTGCTCCATCTCCAAGTCTTTAGACCCATGTTTGTCACAGGTTTAAACTTTAACTTTAAGATACGTGGACTTAAGATATGCTGGCTGGGGAATTCTGGGAGCTGAAGTCCACATATCTTAAAAGTTGCCAAGGTTGACAAACACTGCTTTATATTATCTCTATATTGCCTCCTCCAACAGTAGTTAAATTACCAGGCTCTCTGAGTCTCTACTGCCCATCCATCCCTGCTGCCAATCCCCAACAGGACTTACCTCTCATAAGTTGCTGTGACAAAGAACGCATAGACCCGGGTGTGCTTGTGGTGCCGAATCTGGATGATGAGCTCTGGGATCCCCAAACGGATGTGGTTCAGCAACCACAGCAATGTGTGGTCATCAGTTGTATCTGGCAGGATGAGATACAAATGCATGCAAAGACTAATTGAGCTTGCACCCTTCCTCCAGTTAGGAGGTAGTGGCATTCATTCATTCATTCATTCATTCGTTCATTCGTTCATTCATTCATTCATTCATTCGTTCATTCGTTCATTCA